CACATACATAAGCTGGAAGACTCCGCTGCTGGTTCATGTACTGGACGACACATGTTAAGTGTTAGCAATTCCCAAGGTGATCTACAACATGAATGAAATCCCTGTCAAACAATCCTAATGATGGCAGCGGCACGTTGCTCATGCCTGTAATCCTAACACTTTGGGTGGCTGGGCAGGCGGATCGCTTGAAGCCAAGCAGTTCAGAGCCAGCTCCGGGCGGCTGGCTCAGCTGTAATCCTAGCTCTCTGGAGGCCGCAGGGCGGCCGCGGATGCTCGGATCCAGGTCAGGGTTCGAACAGCCTGCAGGCAGAGAGCGAGACCCCGTCCTACCTATAAATAGAAAGAAGTTAAATTCGGCCCACACTAATATATACAAAAAATTACCTGGCATGGTTGGCACATGGCTGTAGTTCCCAGGTACTCTGGGAGGCTGAGGCAGAAGGATCCTCTTGAGCCCAGGAGTTTGAGGTTGCTGTGAGCTAGGCTGACGCCACGGCGATCACTTAAGCCTGGCAATCAAGTGAGCTCTGCTCTCAAAAAAAAAAAAAAAAAAGGCTTGAGCCCAGGAGTTTGAGGTTGCTGTGAGCTAGGCTGATGCCACGGCACTCTAGCCAGGGCAACAAAGTGAGACTCTGTCTCAAAAAAAAAAAAAACAAAAAACAAAAAACCTAATATATGATGTTCAGTCTGGAGAAATAGAAGTCTGACATCTGAAGATCAACTTTACTCCCCATATCCCACAGTGACATAGTCTCATCATATGTCATTACATGAATGGTGTGGCAAAAACTGGATCTGAATTTATGTCTAACTCCTAAACCCATTTTCAGTTGCCTTTTTTGTTGTTATTGAGACAAAGACTCACTACGTATCCCTGGGTAAAGTGCAGTGATGTCATTATAGCTCACTGCAAGCTCCAACTCCTGAGCTATAAGTGATCCTTCTGCCTCAGCCTCCGGGGTAGCTGGGACTACAGGTTCATACCGCAACACGCAGCTAGATTTTGTTGTTTTGCGTATTTTTTTTCTTTTTGTTTTTTTTTTCTCTTTGTTAAAGACAGGATCTCACTGTTGCTCAGGCTGGTGTTGAACTCCTTAGCTCAAGCTATCCCCCCATCTGCGCCTCCCAGAGAGCTAGGGTTACAGGTGTGAGCCACCTCGCCCAGCCCAAACCCATTTTCTTTTCACTTGACCTTGATGTTCTCATAAGCATTCTTTCCCAATCCCATGCAAATTACTCTGTAAGAGGAATAAATGCTAGTAAGTAAAATAGTAAGCTCTCATTTGTGTGCAAAGCTGAAGCACAGGCCTTCCATAAATGTTAAATAACAATGGCACACCAGTGGCAGTGTGCTTAGAATTTATAGAATCATGCAGAATCCCAGGGGATGGGAATAAACCACTGAAGTCATCAAGTCCAAGGATTTTTCAAACATGTTCAGGTAGTAGAGCTCCTAAGAAGTCACAGTGCTCTTTGCAAAACATCACAGACTACTGACAGCTAATATCATTATATAAACTAGCAATGATTTTACTAGCACACACAGCATGGTGTAATGGGAAGGATCAGGCTTTCAAGTCTTACAGATCTGACTTTTCCACTTACTAACTTGAGATTTTTTTTTTTTTTTTTTGAGACAGAGTCTCGCTTTGTTGCCCAGGCTAGAGTGAGTGCCATGGCGTCAGCCTAGCTCACAGCAACCTCAAACTCCTGGGCTCAAGCAATCCTGCTGCCTCAGCCTCCTGAGTAGCTGGGACTACAGGCATGCGCCACCATGCTTGGCTAATTTTTTCTATATTTATTAGTTGGTCAATTAATTTCTTTCTATTTATAGTAGAGACGGGGTCTCGCTCTTGCTCAGGCTGGTTTCGAACTCCTGACCTCGAGCAATCCGCCCGCCTCGGCCTCCCAGAGAGCTAGGATTACAGGCGTGAGCCACCGCGCCCGGCCTGGTCTTGAACTCTTGGTCTCAAGCGATCCGCCTGCCTCAGCCACCCAAAGTGTTAGGATTACAGGCATGAGCCACTGTGCCCTGCCATCATTAGGATTTTGACAGGGATTTCATTCAATGTGTAGATCACCTTGGGAAGTGCTAACATCTTAACATTGTCTTCCAGTACATGAACACAGGATGTCTTTCCACTTATGTATGTCTTAATTTCTTTCAGCAATGTTTTGTAGTTTTCAGTGTATATGTTTTTTTGGCATCATTGCTTAGATTTATTTCTAAGTATTTTATTTGTTTTATGCTATTGTAAATGGAACTGTTTCCTTACTTTCGTTTTTGGATTGCTCATTGTTAGTACACAGAAATGCAACTGATTTTTGTGTTGATTTTACACCCTACAACTTGGCTGAATTTATTAGTTTTAAGTTTTGTGTGTAATAGTTTGATTTTTAAACACAAAGTGTGGCTGTAGGATAAATTCATCACCTTGTTCAAGTCTTTATTTTCATATGTAACCCAATAATATTTGACTAAATGCTGCCATCAAAGATCCTGAGGTATGCAGAATATTGTCATTAGCTTTATAAAAGTCAACTCCTGAATATATGAAGAAATTATAAACCCTACATTTCATTAAAAAAGAAAATCCTCAAACTTACATCCTAAACAATCCTTATGACGACAGGTTTGACTTTCAGGCTAATATTGGGTGATACTGATTTGAACTTGATGAGGCTATCTGAAGGGCTATGCACACATAATTTTCATTTCCATAAGTATGTGTTGAATGATATGGGGTGATGTTTAGAAATTAGATTCTGGAATTTGATAACTACATTAGAATCCTGGTTCTCCTCCCAATTACTTGTTTGACCTTTGGCAACTTCCCCAAACCATTTTTGGTTCCTCTTTAAAACTGAGATCATAATATCTGTCCCACCAGATTGTTTGAGAATTAAATAACTGTGTATTTAATTGCAGTCAGTAAGAGTTATTATGATCTTTTTTTAAAATTTAATTTCTATTTTTCATTTTTTTTTCCACCAGAGGAGTGGTAAGAGAGTTATTATGATCTTGAGCACACTACATGTTGTGATAAAGACATATGACATCTACCATCAAGGTGCTCATGATCTAGATGAGAAAGTGTAATGAAAATCAAATAATCTTTTTTTTTGAGACATGGTTTGGCTCTGTTGCCCAGGCTAGAGTGCAGTGGCACAATTGTAGTTCACTGTGGCATTGAACTCATGGGCTCAAGTGATCCTCCTTTGTACCTGGGATTACAGGTACAAGTCACTGTACCTAGCCAATTCGAATAATCTTAATACTATACTATGGCAACAGAATGGCATGTTGGAAATAAATGTAAGGCTATGATGTGCTCAGATATGAAACTTAGGGAGTTTGACTCCTGTGTAGAGGGTTGGAGAAATTGAATTATAAACAAGACTAATAAGGAGGCTACAATAATCCAGGCAAACTCTGTGGCATAGCAATACACGTTGAAAGTCAGTGTAGAATGGAGCCTTTCTGTGCCTAGAATCATGAGCTCCAGAAAGTGACTTTCTGCCATGGCTTGGTAGATAACACACTTTAATCTTTTCTCATTTTCATCTTAATAATTTAGAAGATTCAAAGGAATTGTTTGATTCTTAGGCACCATTTTACAGAGAAAATTGAGGCTCAGAGAACAAGGCCACTGTTGCACTATTAACAGGGGCATTATTCACATTGTAGTCTATGAAAATGGCCCTTTCTGGAACACAAATATGAATGGCTCCTGAAGTTGTACACTGCAGCAGCCCTGTTGGAGAGATTACAGTGTAACAGTAGATAGTGGAATTGATCTCTAGCTAAAAACCTATGCTCTTCTCACTATACTATTTCTTATTATGATATCTTATTGATGGGTACTTAGGGTTAAACACTGAATTAATACAAATTAAACACATCCCAGATATAGATTTTTCACAAGAACATGATACGCTTCTTAAAATGAATTTAGTAGTTACCTAACAAATTAAGGTGCTTGGTGTATTCTTAAAACATTACTTAATAGGAAAAATAAGGGTAAAACAGATATAAGGGCCCATTTACTTTGGGCTTGCCCAAAACAGTTATAAATGAGGAGTTTTACGAAAGCCTAAAAGGACTAACCACAAAAATTAAGATCATGAATCAATTTTCTACAGACAATTCTTGAATTATCCTAATATTTTAAGACCAATTTCCCCAGGAAGTGATTTGTAATTATCTTGGCAAAAAATACCTAATCTTAGTAAAAAGTACATATTTAGCAATTAGTTCTTCATATATAAAAAACTATTTAACTCATATTTATGCCAAGAACACTGTAATTCACAAAATTTTCATCCATACTCTTATCCTATACCTACCCCTGCTAAAGGCAGGAATATTTCTTTCTGCAGAGGATTTCTTTGATGCTCTCAAAGACAGGCTAGCTATTAAGAATTGTTGTAGTGAGATAAAAGGGAACAATGACCAGAGATTCTCTAAGTAGCTAACATATGATCAAAAGTGGAAAAGCAGAAGTGCATATACACAAAGATTTATGGTTATCGATAAAAATAAAGACTTCTCTGAACAGATGGTAGAATCCCATCCTTGAAAATTTTCAGAAATGAGGTTCACAGAACTGCAGAAGAAACTTTAGATTTAGAAACATCTTATTTGACTGATGATGAAGTTTAGAGTGGTTAGGTGACCTGCCCACGATCATAAAATGAATGCCAGAGTCTGGACTAAAACACAAGTCTCCTGACTTCTGGATATGTACTCTTTTTTTCATTAACTACACTGCCGATCTTTATTTGTTTCTAGCCACTTGAAGCGGTCACCCCAACTCTTTCTGCTCCACAATTTGCCCTTTGGGATAACCAGAGGAAAAGAATTCTGGATTATGTAGACCATGTAGGGAGCTACTGACCTAACAATGAATGAGACATTATTTCAAACAATGATTGTACTAAAATTCATTTGTGATGGGGAATAGAAGAGTAATACAAAAGAAGGAAATTCTGTAGACAATAAGAGAAGCATAAGAGGAAATATTCTCCTCTTTTGTACTGTTATTTTATTACTGTTATTTTATTTTGTTAAGTCCATATATTATATAAAACATAACAGGAAAAATGAACAAATTTATAAAATAAATTGAGGTGTCTGGATGAAAAAAATACAAGAGCTTTGCCTTCATGTCTATAGATCTCTCAATAGTTTGTTGGTCTTGCACTTTAGATATCAAATAAAGATATCTAGCTTGACACAAAAGTTGGTATGCTGCAAAGTTAAGCCATAGTTAGTTTGATAATGGGCCAGGAAATGATAGATTTTCTAAATCTTATCCTTAACATTGGCTATAACAAATGCTGATATAGCAAAATGCAAGCTTTTATCAGACAGCAAGAGGGAAACTTGAGTGAATGAATGCAACTTACCTCCAAGTCCTCTGAAAGGAGGTGAAAAAATAAATACTGTGTTTTACCAGTGCTCCCCCCAAAACATTATTCTAAGCATGCAGGAGGGTGTTGCGAGCAGCTACAATAGTAAGATCCAACCCAGAGGTAGGTTCATGGCCAAGATTAGGACAGTGATTGAGGAAATAATCCTAGGGCCAGTACCATTTCACAGAATGCCCATTTGTGCTGGGGGATGAGTCTATGGCCTATTTTCTTCTGATTCAAAAGGACATTCCCAATTTCAACCTTGCTGGAAAAGAGGCATTTTTGCACCTGCTATTAAGAACAGCTAGAATATAGGATAAGGCTGGCATAAAATTATTTAGCAAGCACATGCTAGCTATTCCAGTTTGAAATCTACCATACTGTAAAATCAACAGGAAATGCTGCAGATGAAGCTGTTGTTCCTCAAGATGAGGGAACTCTTACAAAAAGAGAGATTAGGCACTCACTTAACTCTATATGGAGAACATCCTTCTCAAGCTAGATGGAAGATGAAGAACATTACCAAAGGCTGACCACGCCATTTGGAGACCAAAATGAGAGGAAAACAGGCATTTAGGAAGAAAGCTAGTAAGACAAATTCTTATGGGCCTGATTAGGTAATTGAATCTAAGGCAACCACACCAAAGATATGCTATCCATCACTCCAGCATGAAGCTGGTGGCAAAATATCTCAAGACATTTTCAACCCAGAGAAATGTATGAAAAATATGATAGTTAACCAAGCAAATTAAAAACCAAACCTCCAATGGAAAATCTCTTAGATCTAAAATATATGATACTCACTTTTCATTAATTCTGTGCATTATTGGGGGGAAAAAAGTAACAAATGTAAAGATTTGTTTTATTTCCACTGGGGGAAGGAGGAGGATAAATAGAACTGTTTTCCAATTTGCTCTCCACTGTATACATACATACCCACACGCATACATACACATACATACACCAAAAATACCCCAACAAAAAACCCAAGAATCAAAAACCAAAGACCCTCAAACTGCACCAATACTTCATATTTTGACCAAAATAATAGATCCTGGGAGGAAGTGCAAAATGCAAAATCAAATGACCAAAAAATGCTGAACAAACAGCATTATTAATATACAAAATATTTATATTACTGAACTAGTAACAGGTGATGTTCTCCGTGTCTGTAAAACTTTGGAACCACATAGCTGATTTGTTAAATCTAGTCCATGCCAGCTTCCAAAAACCAGAAAAAAATTTTAGTTAGCTTCATTCTTTGATGCCTCATCAAAATTTTCTACAAGATCTGAAAAAAAAAAAAAAAAACAAAAACGTAAATGAATCAAAGAATACAAAAAAGGAAAAAGAGGTACATGAAACTCTTAACTTCTTTCCCAAATAAAAAACAAAATTATTGAAACCAGAATTAGCATGAAAACATACAGGACAATAGGCAGAAATAAACTGGTGGGATCTTATTATTGATTTACAACAGTAATCCTAAGGAAATGTTTGTCTTTTCTGTCTATGCAAACCATTAAGGTGAACAGCATTTTCATATGTCAATTATAATTCACACAGAAATGTTATAACAATAACTATGCAAATTTATAATCACAGTGATTTCAATTAAATAAATGCAGACAGCAGAGCTTTGTACAACAATTTCAAAGTTATAAATGGGGGGTGGTAGTTATTCTTTTTCATTAAATCCTATCATTGTGAATCAATTTAAATTTATGAGCTCCTAATCAACAAAAACCTGAAAGTTATCCATGCCATGAGTGAAATGAGATGCTAAAAATCTTAAGACTAAAGAAATGTCATTTACCTGGAACGTCATCATCCTCCTCATCAATGTCTTCTGGTTTTGGTGCTTTGCTATCCAAAACTACAAAAAATTTATTTTAATGTTGTTAATCATTGACAATGACCTTTAACAGAATGCTTAAAATCTTTATCCCTTTTTCCTGTCTAAATCTCATGTTTGCTCAGAAAAAGCTAAATATTTTCAATCTAAAATGCTATTCATATTTCTTTGCTTAAGTAACATTAAAATCAATAAAACTTTAATTTAAATACACACCAATATAGCTGGCAATTTCAGTGTGCAGCAAAGGTAAAATTTATTGCAAAATGGAATAATTCAGATGAGTCTGAGTAAAAAGACATTAAATTTATGGTGGCCATCTTCCCCAAATCAAGTTTCTTCCCATTTCTTTTGGTGTAAGAAAGTGTATGGCTTTGTAGTATAGCCACTGAAATACTAGCCTTTTTGATTTTTAGGGGCAATAATACATATCTGAATTAGGATTATCTTGGAAACTTACAACTTATGGTTGTTACATCTACAGTGCAATCAACAATATTTGACAAAAATATAGTTCTCTGATAACAGTATTTTCTGGTTGTCATTAATTAGCAGTGAATATCAAATTGACTGTTTAAACTGAGGCCTGCAGATCCTGGCACTTTTCTTTTAGGCAATTACCTCTCAACTTATTATATTATTACCAAAATGTTTTGGAATATTCTATATGTTATACTACATAATTACTAAAGAAAGAAACTTAAAATTCTATGAAGCATACAAGTGTCTTTATGCAAAGTAAAATAATTACATATGGGCAAATTCAATTTAAGATGGGGCATTCATTCATTCATTCATTGACAGGGTCTCGCTGTGTTGCCCAGCCTGAGGTACAGTGGTGTGATCACAGCTCACTGCAACCTTGAACTCCTGGGCTCAAATGATCCTTCCTGCCTCAACCTTCCGAGGAGCTAGGACTACAGGTATATGCCACCACACTTGGCTAATTAAAAAAAAATTTTTTTTTAAGAAATGGAGTCTCTATGTTGTCCAGGCTGGTCTCAAGCTCCTGGCTTCATGAGATCCTCTGCCTCAGCCTCCCAGTGTTGAGATTACAGGTGTGAGCCACTGTGCCCAACCCACTTTTTCAATTAAGTTAACTAAGGTCGGGGGAGAAAGAGGTACGAAATTAAAATACTTACCTTGCCGTGGGAACTGTTCAGCTAACTTTCTAAGGCTTGTTAAGCTGTCAGCACCAAGCTGACTTAATATTCCAGGAAGCATTTCTGTGATTGGTTTAGCTTCTGCATGACCGGTAATTGCAAAGGTGTTAGCAGACAGGGAAGCCTGGACTTTGGGATTGTTGAAATGAATAACTGTCCCATCATCTTTAATCATGTTCACCTGTATGATCACAGAAGGAAAATATACTTTACATGCTAGATACAACTAAAACAGTATCTTTTTAAAAAGCAATTTAGGGCTGGTCCAATGATAGTGGGTTATCAGAACGTATAAACATTAGTGCCACTAAAGTTGGTACACAGCACCCCACTGCTAAATATGACTGGCTTAAAAACAAACAAATAAAATAAAAAATAAAAAGCAACTTAGCCAATTATGGTTTTTTGCGTGGTAATTATGCAATGCTAAGGTAGTAATTATAGCTAAGCAGAGGACATGAGTGGAAAAAGACCCCAGTAATAAAGTACAATGGTGTAGACTGCACAAATGACTAGGATGGTCAAGAAATAGTCATTTTGTTATAGAATCTAGATTTTAAATTCAAAGACTTCTAAGAGAAGGAAATTCAAGCCCACATTAAATAAAATGGAATTATCAGCCAAGAACTTGCTTCTTAATGAAATTACCCATTATCTTACTCAATTTATGCTATCAAAATCAATGTAATTACTATTTGGTGGGGTAGCATCTTTCTTAGGGGACTGGCTGTGAAGGGGAAATAGTATATTGCAAAAATAACCACTGAAAATCCATAAAGAACACTCAGAAATTTAATCAACCAGCTGTTTCACTCCTTCAAACACTTAACAAATTATAAAAATTTCACCTTGTTCTCATCATGTCATTCTTTATAGGGGATTTTGTCAGTTCCTCTAATTCTTAAGGGTAGCTTCTCCACAACCTTCAATAACCCTGTAAGGTCAAAGAAGCTCTCCCACCCACTTCCCTGGCTACCTGAACATGCTTTATCTATGATTGAGAAACCTTTAAAGTCACCCTCACATTCTTTCTATAACTTTTACTAATATGAACTGTTTCGGATTTGATTTCATCCATTGCCTGGGACTTACTGAAATGGAAGGTTGAACACACATTATTTAAATTATTTTTCTCTTTCACTCATGTACTTTCTAGGGTTTTTGTTTTTGGTAGAGTTGAATTTGCATAAGTTAAATGTGTAAATAATGTGATTCCACTGTGTAGTTGATTCCACTGGGTAAGTTACCTTGGTGGTAACATGCTTATTAATATAAAAAGGTTAGGAGAGTTAACTCTTGGCTACTTTAGAAGCATTTCATGTTCCATCCAAAAACTGCCCTCGTCACAATCAAGCAGAGATGCTGAGTGTTCTCCATGGTCAGTGGGAAGTGGGCTTTTCTTCCTCAGAGGTGATCACCACTATTGACAGCACCAGAAAGGAAGGGGAAGAAAGGGACTTCTAAATTTCAGGCAAGACCTGGAACACAGAGAAAATAAAGGCTAAACCCTGGAAAATTATAACTAAACCCCACAAATGAGTCCCCAACCTTTTCTGATAAAAATCACTATTTTAATTCTATACCCTTCCCTCTCTCAGTATTATACTTAAGGTTCTATTAAGTATTTCATGCACAATAAGCATTTAATCCAGCTGTTATAAACAAATAGCATTGTGAGTTACTTAATATTAACTTTAGAAAAGATAAATTATATACTTTGAAGATAATTATAGTTTTGATAGAAAAGTTCAATGTTAAAGTGGCTGAAGTCTGGGACAGGAAGGACTTGAGAAGGATAACAGTGGATATGAAATGGGATGCTACTCTAGATCTAGCCTAGAAGCACATAATTTTAGTACAGGAAAAGAATAAATAAAGATATGGTAGGACTATATTTTCCAAATCAAGATCAAATTACATGGTTTACTACAATACTTCCAGTTATAAACAGTCTCAAATATTGGAATTTGAGACATTTATTATTTATAGACATTAAAATCACAAGAAATTTGAAATAAGTATTATTTTTAAAAATTCAGGCTATATACTTGTTGAACTTAAAGGTCTTTCAGTTCAAATCCTTCATGTTAAAGAAATAAATACTCAATTCACCCGCCTAGTACTGTATTTAGAAAAAAAAAAAGGAAAAAAGGAAAAAAAAATTAAAAAGAAAGAAAAAAAAAGAAAAATACTCAAGACAACAGTTCTTGGCTAAGAAACATACTCAAGGACAAATAGCTGGGGTTAAGTGCAAACCAAGAAGTTTAACCTGGATTTCCCGATTTGTTCTTTTCTTGAGACAGAGTCTCATTCCGTTGCCCTGGCTAGAGTGCTATGGTATCAGCCTAACTCACAGCAACCTCAAACTCCTGGGCTCAAGCAAGCCTCCTGCCTCAGCCTCCCGAGTAGCTGGGACTCCAGGCATGTGCCACCATGCCTGGCTAATTATATATATACTTTTTAGTTGTCCAGCTAATTTCTTTCTATTTTTTAGTAGAGGCGGGGTTTCGGTCTTGCTCAGGCTGGTCTTGAAATCCTGAGCTCAAATGATCTACCCCCCATGGCTTCCCAGCGTGCTGGGATTACAGGCGTGAGCCACCACGCCCGGCCCAATAACAGACTTCTTAAGAATAAGGCACATAAGTGTGTGCAAAATTATGAGTCTAGAAAATGTCAGATTTGAGGATTATGGGCTTTGCACACACTCTCATAAGCTGATGTCCTTCACATTCAATCCTCAATCAGCACCTGTTTATTTCTAAAGGCTAGTTTGAAGCATGACCTATTATTGAGCTAAAGCTTACAGCTGTTATTAGATTATCACTACACTATATACTGAGATCACTTTCTCTTACTCTCTGGTGGAAAGAGTCTGATGAGACAGGGATTTTCTATAGCTATGCTGTAGGTAGTGTGAACTGCTATACTCTTTATGAAAAGCAATTTGGCAATATGGATGAAGAATTCTAAAAGTGTTCACTGCCCTTTCAGCCAGTAATTGTACTTCTAAGAATCTGAAGGAAATCAGAGAGAAGGATAAGTATCTATGTATAGAAAAATTCAACATATGATTCTTTTATTATCAAAACATTACAGTGTAGAATAAATATTAAATTACGGTACAGTATACCCACATATTAGAATGTACGTAGACAGCTAGACTGATGATTATTAGGAGTTTTTGAATGAAACAATTTTTATACCATAATGTTATTTTTTTTAAGAAAGGATTCTAAATTGTATATCTAGGTATGTAAAAATATATGTCTATAAAGATTGGAAAGAGTAAATACAAGACTAATAGTAGCTGTCTGGTAAAATTATGGTTGAACATTATTGTCATCTTTATATTTGCTCTATACCCCTAATTTTCTACAATAGTAATATATATTTATATTGAGGGGAAGAAAGCTATTTTAAAAACAAAAGATGCACATAAACAGATGAATAGTCAAAATGTGGTATACCCATACAATGGAGTATCATTCAGCTATGAAGGGAGTAAAGTTCTGATATATACTACAACATAGATGAACCTTGAGAACATTATGCTAAGTGAAGTAAGCTGGGCACAAATGGACAAATATTGCACTATTCTACTTATATGAACTATCTAGAATAGGTAAATCCATAGAATAGAAAATAGATTGGAGGTTACCAGGGGCTGAGGGAGAGGAGAACAAGGAGTTATTGTTTAATGGGTAGAGTATCAGGGAAGATGAAGAAATTCTGGAAATAGATGGTGGTGATGGTTACACAACACTGTGAACATAATGAATGCCACTGAACTGCACACTTAGAAGTGGTTAAAATGGCAGATTTTGTGTTATATATATTTTACTACAATAAAAAAAAATAGTAAAAACCAAAACAAAAAGCTAAAAGAATAGGATCCTAAGAGAGAAAGTAAGGATACTGTGGAAGGATAAGGTGAATGGGACATAGTGCTTCCCTTTTACTTTCCTGTACTCAGAGCTGTCCACCCATAGGCACCTGAAGCTCTAGTTAGATAAAGAAGGAACTGTGGAAGAGTCAACCACTAACTTTAGGTCCTCCTTCTGCACAACTGGTTTAGGAAATATAAGAACCAGGAAGAATATAAATAGTAAAACTTAGATGTACAATTACAAAATTTACATTCCTGTTCTCAAGTTTTCTCCTGAGCTCCAGTTCCCTACAGCTAACTTCTTGCAGAACAATTCCACCTAGGATAATCAGTATCTCTATAATTTAATAGGCCCCAAACAAATTCATCACAGGGAATAACACTATAAACAATGAATGAACAGGGTCCCTGCTGTCAAGACTTTTACAATCTACGGAAAACAGACTATTTGGTTAATAAGTAACCATTGTGCACCAATGAGATGGTAATAAATATTATAGCAAAGCAAAATTAAGCTAAAGGCAGTATAAGTACAGAGAAAGAGCTGATTATGCCTGGAACAATAGGTAAGGTTTCAAAGAGATAGAATTACACCCCAAATAACACAGAAACTATCCTTTGAATATAATAATAAAACTCTATGAAGCAACTTGAATAATTAGGGCATCTGAATCAGAGCACTTTTTTGACATTTCTTACCAAATAAATCAGATAAAATCAATTGTTTCTAAGAAATGGAACAGATCCTATTGTCAATAGATACATGTTATCAGGGGAAGAAAGGGGACACCGCAGTCACTATATTCAACTAGATTACCAAATAATAAGCACATTCAAATCTCTCCAAATGTCATAAAACATTTTCAGAAACTTGGTTCTGGACTGTAATTGGAAAATTTGCCTAAGAATTTCTTCCAAAAACCTGTTTATTTACTTAACCTTTGTATGAAATAGTCTGACATGCCCCTATCCCTTACTTTTTGACAGTTTTGGATTTCTCTGTCTTTGGTAACATGTTAAAAAAATCCATATATAATCTATTATACCAAATCAATAAACTAGTGAATACATAAAAGACCAGAAGCTTGTCTTAATCCAGTATTTCAGTTTTTAAAGTTTCTGAGAGGACATAAATTAAGCTTTGGAAGTAGAAAATAAAAAAGTATCACTAATACTGATAGCCTATAAATTAAGATTAGAACTTTATTTGGCAAAAGTGCATTCAATGAGCTTTTGAAACCCACCACTGATTTCCCTGATCCTCACTCACCAAACTAATTATTTTCTACTTATTT